TGCCAAACAGCCTGCCTGCTGACTTTCAGGACTTTCTCCACAAGTACGTATAGCTGGGTGCCTCTGCACCTTCTTCCATTAATATTTCAGCCCATTTGTCATGAATCATGTTCCGGTTCTAGTCATTTTGCTTTATTGGTGTAGTGAACTTAACACATCAGGTTAAGTTCACTACATTGGTAACTCCTATTGGGATTATATGATGATTTGAAAGCATGAACACAATTTGGTTGCGACTTGTTTGTGGCAAAAGTCAAGGTTTCTTTATTGTCTTTCTCATCATACATGTGCATGTGATGGAACGAAACCGTGTACGCAGGGTCCCAGTTACATCCAACAAAAGTATAAATTGTAAAGAAAAACAGTAATAAGATCCAAGATATGAATAAGAATACACTAAGCACTAGTAGTACAAAAACAATATGCCGAACAACAGCAGCACGGACATGAATCAGTGTGAGCAGATGAGTATGAATGAACAGAGCAGCATGAAATAAATCAGCAGCATGGATGATCAGCAGCATGGATAATCAGCAGCATGGATAATCAGCAGCGCATCTCAACAGTCAAGTGGTATTACAGTGATTTTTTTTTTCCTTCACAGTGATAACACAAAAATTAGAAAGAAAACAAAAACCTTTGGCAAAACACCATATTTATTTTTATGTTGGCGGATTGTTTTTGTACCATTAGTGCTTCGTGTATTCTTAGTTTAGTGAATGTAGTACATCCTTAGTTCATGACTTGGATCTTACTAATGTTTTTCTTTACAATTTTTACTTTTGTTGGATGTAACTGGGACACTATGTACATAGTTTCGTCCCACCTCATGTATCACGTGTGGTGTATATGACAAATAAATCTGACTCTGATTTCACAAAAAAAAAAAAAACTTGCATAAAAAAAGCAAAGAATACAATAATCAGTAAAAAACTAAGACTAAAAAGAAGCAGAACAGAAAACACAAAAATCTTGATATAAAAACATTACGAAGAAGGAAAAAAAAATATCACAGTTTCATAAAAGATCAAATATTTCAAAGTAAACCACATTTAGTTTTTGTTTGTGGTTGTCACATGACAGTAAATTGTTTTTAATCATATGGAAAGTTGCCTCTTTTAGTTATGTTTAGCCTAAATTTCACTTAAATAAAAGGGATGCACAACATTGGACTTTTGGCCGATATGTTAAAACTTATTTGTCCGATAACCGGTACCAATATTTTTTATATACTTTCCTTTGTCAGAACATTTCCCTCTTATTTAGGCTTATTTGTTACAAAAATTTTGTAACATCTGTAAGAGCTGGTGACATATATTCAGTAACAGCCATATGATATGCATAGCACTTTAACTTATATTAAATGAAAAGTGTTGCCGTCTCACTTGTGGAGGTTTGTTCCAGGTTCCTAGCTGCAGTGTGGGATCTTCTGCACTCTTGTGCATGAAGGACAGACTTTTTAAGTTCAAAGTTTTTGTCTATCCATTGTGCTGTAAGACTGATCATGCTAACAGGGCTAACACGACGTCCAAATGTCTGTGGTAAAACTCACCCAAGTGCTATCGGCTATTAGCTTCTCAATGGCGTCGGAAATGACGGCTTGTAACTCGGGTAAGGTTACATCAGAAAAATATCTCTGACTGGGGACGATGTAGCGAGGCTCAATGTAGTACAAAATCTTTGGAATTCGACATCCTTAACGGAAAAAGAAAACCTTCCATACCGCCGACATTTTGACTATTTCTTCTCTGCCGTGATCAGATCAGGTAGGCGTGCGTGACGTCATCACGTTGTGTTGGCGCTGCAGGCATCCATGTACTGGGTTGTCGTACAAAACAGCGTCTTTTATATCGGTGAGTTATTTTGATGGAAATGTCCGATATTTAACTTTACCGCTAATATCGGCCGATACATGCCGATAATATCGTGCATCCCTAATAAATAATAAGAGAAGTGGTAAAATACTGAAGATTTCCTGTTGTTGTTTTACTCTTTCCTTCAACTGAGTTGTCGTTCAACCATTGCAATATTTGTAGGACTGATGTGCCTTTAGTTGACTAAATAAATACAGAGTGCATAAAAGGATGAACAGAATTGTCAAAGTGTTATGCACTTCATGCAAAATAAATCAAATAAAATGTATGCAAACTTTTGTAAATATCAAACTAGGCAATAACTCACTAAATGTGTTTTTTGTTCATTTGCAAGCTAATTTAGTTTATTTAGACCTTTTAGTATATTTATTTGTTCTGTAGACTAATTTATTCCATCTTAGAGCTGTAGATTTTTGTGTCAAATTGCCTAAAAGAGTGCACCACTTTATTTTAGATGTGTGTGCCTGAATGATGCTGAACGCTGGACTGCTCAGCAGCTCTTGGACCACGCCTTCCTCAAGCCTCCTTCACCTAAAAACCTTCCTCAGGACCAGGAAACCAGCCCAGACGGTCTGCATACCTTACAGTACCCCTTAGTATGTGGAGTATTTTTTTAAGCATCTTTTGAACCATCTTTTTGTGTGTTGATTTGTCATTTATCAGATCTAGCCGTGGACTTTGCGTCGTCAGTCATCCCCCGCGGCCCCATCCTCAATGCTCCGTTCAGTCCAGGGATGCAGAGGCAGTTTTCTCGTTATTTTGACGAGTTTGAGGAATTGCAGCTTCTGGGGAAAGGAGCCTTTGGTGCTGTGATAAAGGTACACTTCACTTGAATTTAACGGAGCTGTGCAATACATTAGAGAGTGACTGTAAATTATTATTTTTCTATACTTCCAGGTTAAAAACAAACTAGACGGTTGCTATTACGCGGTAAAGCGCATCCAGGTGAACCCGGCCAGTAAGCAGTTCAGACGAATCAAAGGCGAGGTGACACTGCTCTCCCGTCTGAACCACGAGAACATTGTCCGCTATTACAACGCGTGGATCGAGCGGCACGAGGTGCCCTCCACGGGGGTCCTGAGCAACACGGACAGCTCGGAGCCTCAGAGCACAGCCGGTAAACGTCTGCAGTGCGGCGACCCACCGCTGCGCCTGAACGAGCTCGGTCTCCCTGACGACGTGGAAGATGTCGCCCCGCCTCCAGCTCTGTCGAGCTCCGTGGAGTGGTCCACCTCCATCGAGAGGTCCTCCAGCGCCAAATGCGTCAGGCACCAGTCGAGTGAGGAAGATGACGACGACGATGATGAGGATGAAGAAGATGTGTTTGGAGCTTCTTTTTTGTAAGTTTTTATTTAGTAGTCATCCATTGTTAAGAATTTCCCCGGCGCAAACGCAGCACGTCAAATGCTTTTCTTCTGTTTTTGTTTTCATTCAGGCCGTTTGACAGCGATTCAAGGAGTGACATCATCTTCGATAATGGCGATGACGGTACGGACGAGATGTCACAGGTATGGGAACGTTTTGCGTCATTGTTTATGAATCGAGTCAGCGTTCAAAATATTGTTTTCTTTTCTTCTTTTTAATCCCCCAATGATTTTTCCAGTCTCACAACTTCTGCATACTTTGTGCTGTTTTAATCATTTTTACATCAAAATGTGCAGCTGATTCAGGTGATCACTGCTCTGACTTTTGGTTGTGCTAACTTTGATCCTTATCAGAATATTTAACAATTTACAAATACATGTATTTTCCCTTTAAATATACTTTGAGAAATATTCAAGTTCCCTCAAAAACATATTTGCATACTTGCTCAGTTTTGTCTTTTTAATACTACTTTTAGCTTTTAGTTAGCATTCAGTTAGCATTTTGGGCTTCTAGTTAGTGTTCTGCTACATTTAGCTAACAATTTGATACTTTATTGCTTGCCTTTTTGCTGTACTAGCATTTAGCCAAACTTTGTTACTATTAGCTAGCATTTTGCTACTAGCATGTGCTACATTTGTCCAGTGTTTTGCTACTTTTAGCTAGTGTTTGTCTATATATATATTTTTTTTTAGCTTTTAACAGTATTTTGCTCTGTTAGTTTTTAGTTTCAGATTCTTCAGCTAATTTTTAGAAGTTATTGAGCATTCACACTGCATTTTCACAGAAATTGATTTAACTTTAAATGTATACATCTCAAGCTTGTGCTTTTTTTTTGCGTGGGCGGCTGTGGCTGAGTGGTTAGAGCAGTCATCCTCCAATGCGAGAGTTGGGGGTTCGATTCCACCAGCAGTCACATGCCGAAGTGTCCCTGGGCAAGACACTGAACCCTTCATTGTCTCTCATGTGTGTCCCATCGGTGAATGAAAGTGATAAAGCACTGATTATTCTCTGTACAGAAATAGTAAAGTGTTGTATGAATGGGTAAATGAGGACACAGATTGTAGTGTAAAGAGCTTTGAGTATCTTGATTAGATAGAAAAATGCTATATAAGTGCAGTCCATTTACCATTTAAATAAACAATGTTTTTATCTGCAGGTTGAGACCAGCAAAAGGCCAGCGATCGACACAACAGAGAGCTCGGACTCTGATCAACTTCCCTCTATAGCACATTATTTGTACATACAGGTACACCTTTTATTTTAGCTCCACTTTTACCACTTGAAACTGTTGCTTGTCTTCTAACTGAGGTCTCATGTTCCCAACAGATGGAATACTGTGAAAAAAGCACTTTAAGAGACACGATAGATCAAAGCTTGTACTTAGACCAGAATCGGTTATGGAGACTGTTCAGGGAGATACTGGATGGCCTTGCTTACATCCATGAGCAGGTTTGAAACTATCAAATAAGAAATGCAATGATTGAACTCATGGCTTTATCACTCATGACCCATTTCCTTCAGGGCATGATTCACAGGGACTTGAAGCCGGTGAACATCTTCCTGGATTCGCAGGACCACGTGAAAATCGGTGACTTCGGTCTGGCCACGGATCATCCTGCCAATGTGGTATGCAGATTCAATCCTCGCCCAGCTCAAAAATCAGGAAAAATAGTCTTGATATGATCTTTTTAATTGTAATTTTATTAACAGGCTGCAGGTAAAATTGAACTGGAGGAGAGCAGCTCTGCATTGATGCCCAAACCAGACCCTGCAGGTGGATTACTCATTAACACGGAGCTTTAAAAAAGTGACTGCTAATATTCATACTATAAAATCTGACATTGATGTTGCATGTTGTGTTAAGGTAACATGACAGGCATGGTTGGCACTGCACTTTATGTCAGTCCGGAGGTTCAAGGAAACACCAAAGCCACTTATAATCAAGTAAGAAAAGCAACAATCACAATTTAACTTTGTTGTGGCTCTTTATTTGTTTCTAATTTTCATTTTGCCCACAGAAAGTTGACCTGTTTAGTCTGGGCATCATACTGTTTGAGATGTCCTACCGGCCGTTTACCACAGGTGCCGAGCGCATCTCTGTTCTGAGCCAGCTACGAATGGTATGCCCAAAGAGGTCCTTTGAGGTTCCTCTAAAACCTGACTGTGCAAAATTAATTTCCAAATGTTTATTGATGCAGGAGTCCATCCTATTCCCGGAAGATTTTCTTGCGCATGAACAAGGAACACAGGTGAGAACAGCTTTAGCATAAAAATCCAATGCAACTCAGCCTCCTCTTTTCTCTGGAGCTTCAATCTAACATTGCGTTATTGCTTTTGTCTGCTTTTTTTGGCTCAACTTATTAGAAAAAGGTCATAGAATGGCTGCTGAAACACGACCCCGCCCTTCGACCCACTGCCCAAGAGTTGCTGAAGAGCGACCTTCTGCCACCGCCTCAGATGGAGGAGTCGGAGCTGCACGAAGTGCTGCAGCACACCATGGCTAACATCAACGGCAAGGCCTACCGCACCATGGTGGGCCAGTTGTTTGCACAGAACACCTCACCAGTCATGGATTACACCTACGACATAGACCTGTACAAGGTAAACAAGCCCACACAAAACACAAAAATGGCTGTTACTCAAATATTTTTGCAGATGCTGAGCTAAAATTCGATGTGGCAGTAGCTGAAAATCATCCACAAAACATATTCTGAGCACTACGCACCGCAAGGCCTTTGCGTAAAACTTTGTCCGAGTCTGACATCAATAGGATCACAGATTATTTTCAGGGTTTGATCTCTGCCAGCTACTATTTTGCAGAGATGCTTCACATTTTTCCCATCTCTGCCTGTAGATGTCACTGCAGACACATTTTACTTCCCACGCACTGCTTCAGCCAGCTCGTAGAAGGCTCATTTGCTCTGTAACAGAGGCTGTTTGTTTGCTCTCCCTTCAGGGCAGTTTCAACTTCAGCGGTGCCAAATTGCAACAGCATGTGTATGAAACCATCACCAGAATCTTCAAAAAGCACGGTGAGGACACTGCTTTGTTTAACGTGTATGCATGTGAACATAAGTCCGTGTTTACTTTCCGATTCAAACAACTTGCATCCCCTGACCTGAAGTTAGCCTATTTTAGAGACCCCCAGCATCTGGTCCAGTTTGAGGCAGCTAAACAATAGGTTCACTGTCGGGCAGCACAGATTCCTCACTGCCGTTCTTCACTTTGCTCATGGCGTCCAGCTGTATGTGTTTGGATCTGCTTACATGTATCGGTTCTCTTATGGTTGGGGAGTGGGGTCAAATTACCATATTTTTTGGCCTATAAGTTGCGCTATTTTATTTATTTTTTGCATAATTTGCATGCCCTGTGACTTATATGCTGAAGCAACGTATTGATAGAGTCTTCCCATATTTATAAACCTATTTTGATTGAGATATGACCGTTTTCATTAGTTCTGACTGAAAATATTGAACAATACCATTTTCAGCTGCTTAGAGGGCACTCAAGTGGTATGGCTTGCTGTTGTGTCATGTACTAGGTAAAAAATGGCTATTAATGACACAATTGGCTTGTCATAGACTGCCACCTTCGTCCAGCTCGCCTGAAGTAAAATCAGCTTCATTTCGCTGCGCCGCTCCGGCGAAATGAAGCTGATTTGACTATTAAAGTGCATTTATAAAGTAAAAGTTCAACTGAGACACACCTTTGCTATAATGTTGAGTAAACAGATAATTGTTTTAGGTGCTTATCTTGTTAAATTTTGAAGAAATGCACATCGTTCCTCCTTCCTGATTTCCTCCCTCAGAGCGCGCTCCCGGAGCACCGAGGCAACAGATACTTTTGAATATGCAGCTGATTTGACCGTCAAAGTGCATTTATTAAGGAAAAGTTATACCGAGACACAACTTTACTATAATTTTGAGCAAACAAATAATTGTTTTTAGGTAGTTATCTTGTTAGATTTTGAGGAAGTGCACAGCGAGTCCTCCCGTGCACGCGCCTACTTCCGCGTATCTGCTTTTGAAATACAGCTGATTTGACCGTCAAAGTGCATTTATTAAGTAAAAGTTATACTGAGCCACACCTTTAATATAATTTCAAACAAATAATCGTTTTTAAGTGTTAATCTTGTTAAATTCTTGTTAAAATCCTCCCGTGCACGCTCCCGTGGCTGCCATTTGGCAGCCAATCGATTTTTGGCACAACACCGGCCCACATTTCCGGGTTGTCAGCGGTGACGCATAATAGATGTGATGTAAACGGCGAAGCAACGTATTTATGGGTTTTTCCACTTTATTAGACATATTTGGACTGATGCGACTTATAGGGCGGTGCGACGTGTACGGCGGAAAATATGGTGTCTTCTGGAGATGTAGTAGTAAAACGTGCTGTGCCCTCAGGTGCTGTGCGTCTTCATACCCCACTGCTCCTCCCCAGAAACAGGAAGTTGTATGATGGAAGTGAGCTGGCCTGCTTCATGGACCACAGCGGAATGCTGGTCACTCTGCCCTATGACCTTCGTGTGAGTTCAACACACACATTCATACATGCTTGCACACAAATGGCTTGAAATGCAAATATTCAGTTTGCTTTTTAGCCCCAGTGAGGTCCTCTTCAGGAAATCCGAGGACTAAATGGTTGTTTCCACATTGTAATCGATCAAGCTGACTTCACTATTATTATTAGTGCACCAAATGTCTCACATCTGTTTTCACTGCAGATTGCGTTCGCCAGATTTGTTGCCCGCAATAATGTCACGCAACTGAAGAGGTAAAGTTAATAAACACCCCTTAAACACTTATTGATTGCATTCATGTTCCATCAGAAGTGAAATTCTTTATGTCACAGTGTTACAAAGTTAAATCCCAGTTCAGACAAGATTAGGACGTTGTGTAAAATGTAAACAACAGAATGCAATGATTTGCAAACTTCACAAACCCACATTTTATTCAAGGTGCAACATAGAAAACACATCAGTGTATAATTTTTAGGAGAAAAACAAACAAACTATAATTTAGAATTTGATGGCAGCAACAGATCTTTAAAAATGTTTGGACCAGGGTAGTAAAATGCTGTAAAGATACGTAGTATGGATAAGTCACAGCTTTAGGAGCATTTTTACATTTAATTTAGTTATTTGGCACCAGATCAGTAAGAGGATTGGGCATAAAAAGGGCATTTTAGAGAGACTAAAGCTAGCAGAAGTAGAAATGTGCAAAGGTTCACTGGTCTGAACAACTACGGGTTGTAAATCTCTGTTCTATAAAAGTTGTGACATAAATGAATTAGGGATGCACAATATTGGATTTTTGGCCAATATCTGATATGCCAGTATGTTAAAACTTATTTGGCCGATACCAATGCCGATATTTTCTCCCTAGACCTACTTACAAAGACTACATCGCTTTCTCTGCTGTGGATTTAAACTACATTGTTCTGCATGGTCTTTGTCAGTTTGACCTGCTACCAAATGCAGAGGCTGAAAATGATGCAACACTTCAACTTGGATTATGTTTAATGTCAAATTTATTCACATTTGCTTGCTCTAACACAATGACAACACTCGGAACAGTCATATAAAAACGCACCTTTTATATCGGTGAGTTATTTTGATGGAATGGCCAATGTCCGATATTTAAGTTTATCGCTAATATCAGCTGATACTGATACCGTGCCGATAACATTGTGCATCCCCAAAATGAATGTTATGATTTGCATTAATAAGGCTCTTATTAAAAGTGATATTTTTCTGTGCATGTTAAGAAACTTCAAATTTATGCAATCAAAGCAACCTGTGAGTTTCTTTTTTTTCTTCTTTTTCTCAAGGTACTGCATTGAGCGCGTGTTTCGACCCAGAAAGCTGGATCGTGCCCACCCGAGGGAACTGGTTGAGTGTGCCTTTGATATCATCACGCCCGTCACCAACAGCCTGCTGCCTGACGCTGAGACCATTTACACCATCTCTGAAATAGTCCAAGAGTTCCCCGCGCTTCAGGTTGTGTGCTCCAGAGTTTGTGCTCTGCTGCCGTGCTCTCATTCAGTCGAAACAATCTGTTCATGAGCAGAACCGTCATCCTTCTGTTTTTCCTACCAATGTCATCAGCTCAACTTGAACGTTTGTTTTTTCCTATTTAACTTCCCACTCACATTCCTAACATACCAAAGTATGCATAAGCGCGTCTGATTCGCGCTGAATTTATTGTTTATGTAGTAAATCTGCTGTGTGTCGCTCTGTCCGGTTCCTTCCCTCCTTTCCAGCGCAGTCTGTTTCCTGTCCGCATTCATCCCAGCACTGCGTCAGTCCCCAGTCGCAGCTTTCCTTTCACACTTAATGAACTCAGTCAACCTTGAGTCTAGCCTCTTGTATATCCCCCATGGATCCTGTCCCTGATCCTCTCCAATGCCCCGCTCTTTGTGTGAGAGCTCTTAAGAATACGTGCGTCAGACAGAATGAGAGGGCAGCCGGACACAACAGTTATTATTCGCCGAGGCGCTCGGTGTCGGTTTTGACTATAATTGTAGCTGAGAGGGTTAAAGGTGTGTTTATGACTGCAGGAAAGGAACTATAACATCTACCTGAACCACACCAGCTTGTTGAAGGCCATCCTGCTTCACAGCGGCGTCCCTGAGGACAAACTCAACCAGGCCTCCAACATACTCTGTGATGCCACGGTCAGTGGTGTCTCTTAGAGTTAATATAAGTGTTTGCATATCAGGAAAAGCATCTGGTTCTTTAAACTTCGTTAAATACAAAAACGGCAAATTATGACTTGTTACACAGTGCCAACATTTATGTTGCTATTAAAAAAAAGCAGCAATGCCGAATCAGTAGGTGGGAAAAACAGCATAAATCCATTTCATTTACTTTTTATGTCAGGTAAAGTCTTAAATTATTATTATTTTCATATATGAATGTTTCTGTTCAGTGCCCTGAGATGACTTCTGTTGTGACTTGGTGCTATATACATAAACTTAACTGAATTGACAGCTTGAGTTATTCAGATGTGTATGATAACATATCACAGATATATGACATCATCAATAAGATCTCTTGAACGCTGTGCTTTGGACCAATAAGGCCAAAGAGGATGTGTTTGATCGTAGTGCACATTTAGAGAAAAATAAATATCAGCACAAATACCTCGTATCAGTTATGAAGCATGGGGGAGGAGAGCTGGTGATTTGATTTATTGACGCCAAACCTGCGCACATTGTCATTGTAAATCTCAATCTCCTCTTTATATGAACGTCTCAAAGTCAAATGTGAAACCGTCTGTCAAACAGCTAAAGCTCAGCCTGAAGGGGCTCCTGCAAGAAAACAATGCTCCCAAGTCAGGACCTCAACTGGAGCAGAAATTATTTGAAACCTTAAGAGGCTTGTGTTTAAACAGATACACTCTGGAAGACTTTAAAGAAAGTGCCAAAATGAAGACGGATAATGTTAGACAAAAGATGCTCGTTTCCGGTTATTGCTTTTAAGGTGTTTTTAATAGAAGAAATCACAGGATGCGTTTAGATTAGTTTTGGTTTTTTGCACACTGTTTCTAGTAATTCAAATGATGCACATGTTCTTTATTGGTTGTATTTGTCTAAGCTTTAAGACCTCGCAACGACCAGAAGTGGGTCAGTTTTTGCTGATATGTAAACCTTTGACTTGAAACGGGTGTAATTTAAAAAAAATCATAAAGTGGAATAATCAGATGCAGTATTCTCTGCGAAGCTTGACATATCTGTCTCGACTGCATTTCCTGCAGAATGAGAAGCTGACCAGATGGGAGGTGGAAGCAAAGTTTTGCAACTTTTCATTGTCAACTACCAGTGTAAGTGTACGTTTGGATTTTTAAATTTTTGTAGCAAAACACTACTCTGATGTTTCTTCTTCTCTCTTGGTTTCAGCTCCAGATGCTGTACAAGTACATAGATAATGGGAAGGGGACTCTGCAGGAACTGGGCCCGCTGCTGACATCACTCACCAAACAGAAGACCGCCTTCACCCAGCTGGCCAAGCAAGGCGTCAAAGACCTGGAGGAGCTCACTGTGCTTCTGAGAAGGCTCGGCGTTAAACTCAGGGTGATTTGGACTAAAGGCATGAAAGAAATAAAAAAACCATGTTGACCTAGTTTTAATGCTCATGTTTCTACGTTTAGGTGGTGGTCAACTTGGGTTTGGTGTACAAAGTGCAGCACCACTCAGGAGTCATCTTCCAGTTTGTGGCTTTCATCAGGAAACGGAAGCGAACTGTCCCTGATGTAGTGGCTGCTGGAGGACGCTACGATCACTTGGTGTGTTTTATAGTCAACAATCCTCATTCCGTTCATAAAAAAAACAGTAGAAAAAAAATGGCCTGGTGTTATTTCTAAATTATCCAGAAGTTCAATTAATATTTATATTATTCTATATGAAGTGGTGTTTGTGAAGCAACCTGCTTTGTGTCTTCATTAGGTGTTGAAATTTCGAGGGCCAGCGTCCACAGTCCCCGTCCCCAATGCGGTGGGGGCCAGTGTTGCTCTGGACAAAATCTGTGCTGCTATGGCTAGCATGGAGGAGCCGGTGAGAGAGACAGTTAAAATCTGACATTCCTACTTATTATAATGATGGAGCAGCAGGCAGAGTTTCATATTTAATGACGGCTTTTTACAGCAGTCGCTGCCACACAGCCACTTTTAGAAACGCGTTAATAACTATGATCAGCGCAGCTCTCGACTTCCTCGAGTTATTTTTGGAGGAACATCTTTTCTATTATTTTGCATTCAGGCAAACGCTCGTTTCTTATTTTAGAATATTTTGAAGATGCATTCCTGTTTTTTTATTTTTTAGCATTTTAGTTAGGTGGGACCATATCTGCTCTTTGTTTCAGCCAACAGTGAGCTCCTGCGATGCGCTGGTGGTCCCAGTAGGACATTCATCAATGTCCAGAGCCATCAATGTTGTCCAGAAGCTGTGGAGCACCGGGGTCTCTGCAGACATTGCCTACGATGTCTCACAGGTTAGCAACTAAATAGATAAATAACGTTCGAAAAGTCAATTTGCAAAAAAGGAAATCCACAAAAAACAATTTTTTTTTTGTTTACAATTAAACCAACTTACGAGGTGTCGTCTTCCTTGTTTGATATTCACATTTTATGGCAAAAACATTCTGCAGCACTTGTTTATTTGCACACCTCATTGATGTAAAATGCTTTCTTAAGCAGCCAAACATCTGCAGAACATAGCTCCACTGCTCTCTTTTTGACCATATCTCACCTATTTCTGTTCCATAGCATCTATATTTTTATGACAGAGAATTAAAATGACTGAAGATTCTGCTTAAAGTCTTGGTTAATAATATAAACAAAATGGTTCTGAGATTGCATCTATTCACATGGCTTACCCTTCCTTCATGCAGTAACCTCATCTCCCCTACAGAGGTCAACACCTGACTTCCGTCCTCAAAGAGGTTGAGCATTAATCATCAGCAGATTTATTTAGACAGACTCCAAAATGGTTATTATCTTTGAACTGTGCTTTGTGGTTCCCTTTAAAACCAGCTGTCTCACACAGAGCAGTCGTTTCTGTAGTGAGGCACACTTTTTCAAAAGGTGTTACATTGAGTTAAGATCCGTCCTTTCAATGTGGAGATATTTATGGTCTGGTCCAGCTCCTCCGATGTCATGCTTCTGCCACATTCTTCATGTTTATGTGACAAACTGACCGAAGCCAGTTTGTTTAAACGGCCTCCCTGCCGCAGCAGCGTGCCAGCATTTTAATGCCTCCTGTGTTTTTTCCTCTTCTACTCGATGCAACCCATTGTTGTCCTGACTTTCCACCTCTGCCGTGAATGTTTGCTTTAATGGTCTTCATTGTCTTTTGTACTGGCACAGGACACAAGCAGTGTCAATTTCCTGAAGTCCTCGGAAACATCTAGGAACGTTTGGGTCTCACTGAAAACAATTACATTCCCAATAACGCAGAGCGTGTTTTGTTGATTACACACCTGTGGAAAGCTGGTGATAACACCTCGTTAAAACCTCCTCACCCGTCACAACCAGCTCGCAAGGCTGTTGTTAATACTGTTCACATGGCGGCGTCTTAACAGACAGAATCTGCAGCTTTTTTCCCCTCTCAGGTGATGGTTTCTTAGCTTTTATTAGCCAAATATGGCAAACCCTTCCACATGGAATTAGCTAAGGCCTGGGCAGCCCATTTGCCTTCAGCCAGTAGCTTAACTTTGACATAATTCAATCTGTCAGTGCAAATACTGTAAGACAAGAGGAAGTGTAAAAAGTGAAACACACTGTGCGGATTTGTGTTGCTAGTTCAACAGAGGAGCCAAACTGAAGCTGATGAGAATAAATTGGACTGACGTTGACATAAGCACATATACTCATCGTCATTGTTGAATGATTCGCTTGAATGAACTTTGGTTTTGGTCTGAAGCCCAGGCTCATGGCCCGCTTCTCTGGTTCCAACCAAAACGCACCGGAAAATAAATGTCTGTTGAAATGGAAATATATTAGCCATATTTCTGCTAAAAAAAGGGGTTTCAATCAAAAACCAGCTCAGCAAAAACTCAAATTTAATTTCAATTCAATTTCAATTCAGTTTATTTATATAGCGCCAAGTCACAACAGAAGTCGTCTCAGGACATTGAACGGAAACATTCGTATATAAAATAAGTTAACAGAAACATTTATATTAAAAAAATAATAATAATTTAACATTATTTATCTGAGGAGCAGACTGCTTTGAGTTTAACTTCATTGCAGACTCTCATCTTGAGCAAGCATGAAGGCGACAGTGGAAAGGAAAAACTCCCTCATGAGGAAGAAACCTTTAGCAGAACCAGGCTCGGGACAAGCGGCCATCTGCTTCGACCAGCTGGGTTTGGTAGGAACAGATACACAATGGCAGGTCTAGAATCACATGTTAAGTTAGAAATAGTATCAAATGAAAACTATTAAATTTTAACAATTCGTTTAAGTAAATTAAGTCAATTTGTCCTCCAGTAGTCTAAGCTTAAGACAGCATAACAAGCCAACCCTAATTATAGAATTTATCAAAAAGGAAAGTCTTAAGCCCAGTCTTAAAACTGGACAATGTGTCAGCCTCACAGACAGAAACTGGAAGTTGGTTCCACAAGAGAGGAGCCTGATAACTGAAAGATCTTCCTCCCATTCTGCTTTTGTAATCTATATGGACCACGAGATAACCTGTAGTCTGAGAGCGAAGTGCTCTGTTAGGAAAACATGGCACAACAAGACCTCGAATATAATATGGAGCTAGGTTGTTGAGAGCTTTGTAGGTTAGAAGTAAGATTTTGAATTCAATTCTGAATTTGACAGGGAGCCAATGGAGAGAAGCTAAAACTGGAGAGATATGATCTCTCCCACTAACTCCAGTTAAGACTCTGGCAGCAGCGTTTTGGATTAACTGAAGACTTTTTAAAGAAGTTTTTGGACACCTAGATAAATCATTACAATAGTCCAGTCTAGATGTGACAAATGCATGAACCAGTTTTTCTGCATCATTTTTAGATGTTTCTAATTTTAGTGATATTACACAGGTGGAAGAACTAGTAACGTTTTTAATGTGGGGGATAAAAGACATGTCCTGATCAAAAATAGTGCCAAGATTTTTAACATTAGAGCTGGAGGACAGATTAACGCCATCTAAGGAGGGCGAAAGACTGAAAACTTAGTTCCTAAAGTGATCAGGTCCAATAACTAAAACCTCAGTCTTGTTTGTATTCAAAAGCAGAAAATGTATGGTCATCCAGGTTTTTATGTCTTTAAGACATGCTTGTAGTCTGAGTATCTGATTGGATTAATTTGGTTACGTGGACAAATATAACTGAGTATCATAAGCATAACAATGAAAATTTATCCCATAATGTTTAATAACATTAACTAATGGGAACATATACAAGGTAAAGAGTATTGGTCCAATCACTGAACCATGAGGAACTCCATGACTAACTTTGGGGTATGATAAAGATTCATTATTTACATTTACAAATTGGAATCTATCAGATAAATATGATTTAAACCCATTTAGAGCTGTTCCTGTAATTCCAATATTATATTCAAGTCTCTGTAATAGAATATTATGATCAACTGTATCAAATGCAGCACTGAGGTCTAACAGGACCAGTGTAGACACCTGTCCATTGTCAGAGGCCATGAGAATAGCATTAGTAACTTTCACCAGTGCAGATTCAGTGCTGTGGTGAGCTCTAAAACCTGACTGAAACTCTTCAAACAGATTATTTCTTTGCAGATGATTACGTAACTGACCAGCAACTATTTTCTCTAGAATTTTTTAGATGAAAGTTAGATTAGATATAGGTCTATAACTGACTAGGATTCCCAAGTCAAGGTTATGTTTCTTAAGTAAAGGTTTAATTACAGCAATCTTAAAGCTCTGTGGTACGTAACCGTTTATTAGAGACAAATTAAGCAGATCCAAGATGTGGTTATTAATTAAAAGTAATATGTCTTTAAATAGCCTGGTTAGGATGGGATCTAGCAGACGTGGATGATTTTGATGTAGCTATTTGACAATTCAGAGAGCTCAACAGGACAAAAACAGTCCAAACATAAATCAGGTTCTAGTGACATTTTTAAAGTTGTCTCATCTGACACAGAACCAGAGGCGATACTAGGAATGTTGGTTTGGATTTTTTTCCCCTAAATGAAACAACTTTATTTATAAAGAATCTCATGACGTTATCACTGCTTACAGTTGTAAGGATAGGTGAATCAACAGAGATAGGATTTTTCATTAGACTAGCTATGGTACTGAAAAGGAACCTGGGGTTATTTTTAGTATCCTCAATTAAAAATGAATAATATAAAGTTCTAGTTTTACAGAGTTTTTTTTTTTTTTTTTTTTTTGTACGTTAGCGGGCTATTTCTCCAGGATAAGTAAGATTCCTCAACATTAGTGACGCGCCATTTTTTTCAATCTTTCTGTCTGTTTTAAAGTACGTAACTCAGAATTGAACCAAGGAGCTAATCTCTGATTCATTACTTACTTTTTCAGCGGAGCAACTGAAAAAGAAAGTAAGAAAAAGAAAATAGAAAGTAAAAAAAGAAAGTAGAAAGTAAAAAAGAAAGTAAGAAAAAGAAAGTAGAAAGTAAGAAAAAGAAAGTAGAAAGTAAAAAAAGAAAGTAGAAAGTAAAAAAGAAAGAAAGTAGAAAGTAAAAAAGAAAGTAAGAAAGTAGAAAGTAAAAAAGAAAGTAAGAAAGTAGGAGTAGCTTTATCGAGTGAAGTTAGCAAATTTAGAATTTTATCATTCTAATTATTATCTTTGATATTTTCTATTTGATTAGTGTTTCCTGGGTAAATCATTAAATGAGACCTTGTGTAAAACCTGTCAACTGTTGGCTGTATAAAATAATCCAGGATCCGCTCTGGTCACATTGGCCAGCGTCCTCAAATTCCTGTTTTAAATCATGTGATTTATGTTGTATTGTTTTAAATGAGAAGTCCCTTTAAATGTGTAGAAATCTTTTTGTTTTGTTTTGCATTTTTGTGCGTTCAGTCTCAGGAGACGTTGGTGGAGCACTGCAGGCTGGCAGGCATCACGTGTCTGGCCCTCGTCTCCGACAAAGAGGGAAACTATGTGAAGGTAAACCATTTTTACTCTCCCCAGCCTAATGCACTCACTGACATCTAGGGTATCTTTGCATGAACTTGGAGTGATTTTTAGAGCAAACTCTAGAAAGTGGTCAAGATGTCAGTGCACTACAATCTTGTTCAGTATTGGATGGAGGTCTACAAACACCAGCACATGTTAAACGGATTTCATGCTCCCAGGTGAAATCCTTTGAAAAGGACAGACAGTCTGAGAAGCGAATTCCAGAGTCAGACTTGGTGGACCACATCATCCAGAAATGTCGGACCAAATTCTTTGAAGAGAGAAACATCAGGTGAATAAATCTGTGTAATGTGCGGCTCAGTTTCTGACAGATTTAAAGGTTGTTGGGTTTTTTTCTTATAGATGTTTGTTTCCCTGCAGAGAAATGTCTGAAAGCATGACCCTCCAAAACCCTAAAGGATCACAGCTCAATAGCACAGGTAGTGAGACCCACCATTACTCCATGCATCTGTGTGGGATTTATTTGATTTAGAAGGAATGATGGCCAAGCAGAGCAACAAAGTAATGACAGAGACAGTTTTGTATTTCACACCATTTTGAGCACTAAAAGTAAAGAACTTTTGAACAAAACATAAATATGTGGAATCATTTGTTGGACGTACTTCTCATCTGCTGCCTTACAATTTAGTAAATGTGGTAAAAACTTCTTTTCAGGTTGCTTGGAGCAGCACGGGAGCAGCGCCGCCACAAATATGAACGTGTACGTCATCAGCCCAGAGAAAGTGTCTGCAAGCACAAGAAGACGCTACGAAACTCAGGTTTGCCATGCACAAAAACACGAGCGCTCACACTCTTTCTGCACGTTTCTGCTACAGGAAACCAAAAAAAAAATGATTGAAGCTCAGTTAATTCTACAGATACCATACTAAAACCTTGTGAGGTAGTAGAGTCATCCTCAGCACATGCTTTAAGCTCTAACTTAAGATCTCAGTAGCACACAAATTGTGCATTACATCGTTTACAAGATTTGTTGATACAGTAGTCCCTCGTTTATTGCGGGGGTTACTTCCTGGACCCCACCGCAATAAGTGAAAAACCACCAAGTAGGAACGCTATATATATATATAGATATATATATATAGATATATA